ATGGGTAAATGTGGCATGTTGTTTAAAGCACTTTGAATGCAATAATAATAATAATTGTAATAATAAATATGAAGTATTATTAATAAGAGGAACTATCGGGATAATGGCTAAATCTCATTATCTCATTAAATTAGGTAACTAAACATACTTTAAAACCAACTTTGAGAAAGGTTTGAGATTTTGATATTGCTAGGATCCTCGAGTATTGTCTCAAAAACTTTTTCCTTTTGTTTTTCTGTGTCACTCTGACAGGCATGCACGGCTGCTTTGAGACTTTTGATCTCTTTTGGGGGCTCTATCAGACACTTTATTAATAAGCTTTTCTTTATGCTCATTTGCTATTAAGATTTCTTTTCCGAACCCCCTCCCTTAAACTTGGGATTTTAACTAATTAACTGTCCCAGGATTTGTCAGGATAAATAAGTGCTTTTAATTATTATTTGTATTATTATTTTATTATTATATGGTTATTGGGATAACCAATCAGCCATTTTGACGGGAGGTCGGTGAAGCTACAGCGGTGATTCTGGTTGTGAACCGGTAGGAGGAGACTGTGCTCTGTCTTCCGTGTTTCCCTACTATGTCCCAATTGCACTTCGCTCTAGTACCTTTGTGCACGTTTCGATGCCCTCCCTCTGCTTTTAAATCTTCATTAGCGATAAACAAGCGGGTTTTAGAATATTTTTGCTCGTTTTGTGCCCCCCTCTCGCAGCGTCTTCACTAACAAACACTATCTGGTAGGAGTCGACTGCTTCATCCATGCATTGGAGTCCCGGGCCCCAGCGTACCGGCTCCGGCTCCAGCCATGTCGGCCAGGAATGCAACGGCTACCGGCGGTGACAGAGCGGTAGGCGAACCGGCAGGTAATTCAAACATGTTAAAGCTATTATCACTTTGAATAATAGGGGTGAAATTCAAATGTCTCCGCGGCACTGACATTTAGGACAAATAGAAAAGAGAAGCGATGTTTTTCCGGCAGTTCTTTTGTTGCTCGTTGACTGTAACTTTGCGCTATTCCAAAAACTAGGTCAGTAGATCAGTAGACCAAGCTCGCCCTCTAACGCTATGCCATTTATGTAAGACAACACGACGCTGTTAAGTGATACCACTCTGCGAATTGCGCTAAATATCCGCCTTGCGTGTTTATCAGTTAAAGGATAAGGGTTTTTATATGTAAATTGTGTGTTTTAATGACTGTTAATGCTAACTCGAAAGATTAAACCACGTAAATGTTAGCTTAGCAGCGGCACCGAGGCGAGGCCGGGCTACACACTCGGCTAAGATGAGTCTGTTAGAGGAGGTGCTGTCATAGCCAAGGACAGATTGTTCTTGCGGATATATCTGACGCTTATGTTCTGTTTTCTGATGAAAGTGGTGTTTAATCAGCGTCAGTGCTTGCTGCTATTTAGGCCCAACTAAGGTCGGTGCCTCTATCCGTTGACTCAGCTCGGCCATTTGTCTTACATTAGCTTGGATGAAGCAGACATTTCTGTAAGTTCATTTTACAGCTCCGCGGTCTCTTTACACAGTGTAAAATATACTCGGAACCCTTTTAGTTTAGTACAAACTAAAGACCAGTGCCCATATAAATAAACATAACTGTATATAGTGTAATTTGGTGAGTCAAAGCCAACATTTGTAAAGAATATCTTCGCTCAAATTCAGAGTTCGTAAATGGTAGTTTATAAATTCCTATAATAAGAACTGAAGTCATATATCTATCTATATCTATATATATTTATATCTATATATCTATATATCTATATATATAATACATGTGTACATACATACATGTGTATATAATATATATGTATGTGCAACATGTCATGTGAGCATAATCAAGGTCAAATAGCATGATCACCTTCAGCTATTACTTATTGTTATATTTCCTCAAATATACTTCATTGGGATAAAAATCTTGCATTAACGAATACACTTAAACACACAATCTTTAATGTTATGGTAAAGTAAGGAATAGTATATAGGAAATGAGTAGTTAATAAAGCAGCTGGAACCATAAAAGAAAAGGGTGCTCGAGTTGATTTAAGAATTGGCCACCTTTTTACTATAAATAACACGCTTTCGAATTCATTTTCCATTAAGTGAGGGTCTCATATTCATACTCTGAAACTAAAGCTATTGATTATATAGTGGTAGAAAGTGGGTGTGTGTGTGTGTTTGTGTGTGTGTGTGTAATAAAAGAGATGATATCCTCCTCTGCTCTGCTGTATTGAAAGCTCCCAGTAACTGAGTAAATGGTAAATGGCCTGTATTTGTATAGCGCTTTACGTGGTCCTAAGGACCCCAAAGCGCTTTACACTATACACGATCATCCACCCATTCACACATACATTCACACACTGGTGATGGCAAGCTACAGTACTGCTTGCCACATAACTACTGCCATTTTGAATCCATCACATGCGTAATATAAACAGTTAACTGTCCAGTAAAGGCATAATATCGAATTGAAAACTGCCCATGGGGCCCTTATCCAGCAAGAGTGAGTGAGCTCAAACTGAACTTGTTGCTACTGGCATAGGTTCAGTTTTTGTTCACATTGCTCAATTTGAGACAACTTTTAGGATGTAAACCAGGGGTGGGCAACTCCAGGCCTCGAGGGCCGGTGTCCCTGCAGGTTTTAGATGTGTCCTTGAACCAACACAGCTGATTTTAATGGATAAATTAGCTCCTCAACATGTCCTGAAGTTCTCCAGAGGCCTGGTAACAAACTAATCATGTGATTCAACTGTGTTGGCCCAAGGTGAGATCTAAAACCTGCAGGACACCGGCCCTCGGGGCCTGGAATTGCCCACCCCTGATGTAAACTGTGCTGGTGTTCAGGTTGTAGTAATACATCTACAAAATAATATTGAGCCAATGTGTTTTTTGTTTTTGTTTTTTTACTGTAAATACTTTGCAAAAGGTGGCCTGAAACGCAGCAGTTACTTTTATTTACATGTGCCTTTTGCAAATATTTGACACTCATTATCATACTATAATGATTGTAGCTTGTGTGTGTGTGTGTGT